GGTCTATAGTCCAAGACATCATACGCTTGCGATGCCTCACTCCTTTCTGCCGATACAAGTTCCTGCTCATACCCAGATCTGGTTTTTCCTGTCCGAGGTTCCATCCATGGAAGTAGTGGCGTTCTAGATGACGTGGGTGTTGGTCGAAACCATCCCGATCCAGGGCCTCGGAAGTCGAGTGTACTCTGAAATTGACGCATGAAGGCCGTGCCTATGATGAGGCCTACCGGGAGTCCTTCCACCACCCGTACTCTTATAACACGCATGTCCCGAGAATGGTCATCGGTGGAACTTCTCTGTCTTTGGGATTTGCAGCTCTCTGTCTGCCTCTTCCTCTCTTGAATACCATGCTCCTCCCTCCGTACTGCCTCCTTTCCACACTTCGGATGAATTCCGCAGACGCATAGTTGCCCCCCCCTGCTCCTGAATCGATCAGGACATTGACAGCTTGGCTTCTCTGGCGTTTTCCTCTATCCCAAAGGTGTGCTTGTACCCAGGCTTGTTGTGTGCCCCTAGATGCGGTGTTTGTCGTGGTGGTGGGGGCTACAACGGCAATCTGAGGCTCCTTCTCTTCGTCATCATACTCCCCCACGTGATGCAATTCATCTGTGTTCCCCGCAAAAGTGTTTCCCGGGGCGCACCCTCAGTGGTGGGGCGAAGTGTTGTCCCTCACCTCGGGAGATTTCGCCTTTCCAGACTGCACCATCTCGTCCGACTGCTCTTCGAAGCTTCCATCCTCGGGGTGCTCGTGCTAGAGTTGCTCCAGCGTTTTCATGGCGAGAAGTACCTCTGAATTCACGTTCTTTCTGAACGGGGTAGATCCCAAACAGCACTTTCTCGTGGCTGCAGTCGGAGAAGAAGCGTCGGGTCATGTTGGGACACTCTCCTCGGGCATGGGAGAAGCAAGTCTTGGAGGTCATGATGTATTTCTTGATGTCTCCTTCCGACGCCTCCAGCTTTGGTGCATCTTCCGGGAGTTTCGTCAGAAACACCCTGCGCGGTTTCCTCATTCCATTGGTTCCGTCATCCTTCGCCACACCCGGGGAGAAAGTGCGTTTGTCTTGGCGCTGTGAGTGCGGACGGGTGTTTTGATCTCGTCGACTGGTTTTGGAGTCCTGTTGGGATTGTGGTCCTTCCCAAGGGCGCTTCCGCCCTCCTCGGTCTCTTCCAGCGGAATCCTCAGACTTTCCTTCCATGGCTGCTACTTGCGCGTCGTTGTGCGTGGCATCCATGTGTGTGGTGTCTTCCATCATGACAAGAGCTGACTGTTTGGGCGCCTTAGTCAGAGCTGTGGGGAACTGCCGAGTTTGCAACGGAATTTTGTTGGATGCTAGGGCGCTCATCTTAGCCGCTGGTCGAGGTGCAGCCGTTTTACACTTCCCCGCTTCTTGTGATATCGTGTTGGAGAAGTTGGTGAAGATCTTTTTCGTTGACCTTCCCCTCTGGACCATATACGGTGATCCTAGCTCATGTCGAATGGCTTGCATGTTGTTCAACTCTTGCCGGTATGTGTCACGAAGCGTGTAAAGCTGAGCCTCCCACGGCATCCGATCGCTCCATTCTGGGAAACACAGCTGTAAGGATTTCTCCTCTAGCACCTGGAGATCACGCATTGCAAGGAGTTGCCGAAAATACTCCTCTTCCGTCGTGTATGGAGCGTCCAGATCCACGCTAGAGACCCGAAGGTATTGTACCAATCTTCCTTGAGCGGCTGATTCCTTGGGCCCTATGACAATGTTGTTGAAGGCCGCAATTGCTGCACGGCGTGTGGCATGCTCCCTTGCCTCCTCTTCGGCGACCAGCCACAAGAGGTCGACTGCCGTGACCAGGTGGTGTGGTACGTACCGTTTACCGCCTCTCACGTCATGAATGAGCATCTCTTGTCCCCTTGAGGCGTTGTACGTCGTGACCACCGCCATCTCTGGCGGTAGTAAACCTAAGAGTATCTCCACCCTTGACGGTGTGAGATCATCTGCTTCCGGGTGCGCGATTTGTTGTCCTGAAGCTGGATGAGTAGTCAGTCGATCGGTGGTAAGCTGTGCCACCCCCCCGGACTTCATAGCATACGCCCTTGTGGCCACGTCTTGGAAGAACAACGGGTCATGTTTGGCCTTCAAAATGATGGGGTCATTGGTGTTGTCTTGTACTGGAGCGCCTTCAAAGTCGCCTTCGCCCGTGTTTTGAGTGATGCGCGTTTTTGACTCCTTGTAGCACCTGACGACGTTGTCTGAGGTCGGCCAAGTTGACGGCGTACACCGAGCAGGTGGGTTGCGGCCAGTAGTGTCCGCCCTGTGGGTTATATTCTCGCGGAGGAAAGCCCATGCCTCCGTGGGAAGGGTTGTACTCCCCCCTCCTGTTGGGAAATCCGCGGTCGTGGACCCTGTGGTGCTGTGGGATTCTTCCTCCGGTGTTGAAAGGCCGATGATGGGAGTCACCTGAAACGCCTCCATGCGGTTGAAAACCTCCGTGGTGATAGAAGGACCCTCTATTGTGCTGAGAGGGTCCTCCGTAGTAAGGGGCATATCCCCCGTGATGAGGAGACTTGTTTCCACGATTGACCTGTAGTATTCCGCCGTGGTGGGAAGGCCCTCCGTGTGGTTGGAGGGATCCTCCACAGTGGGGAAGAGGTTCGTCTTGAGGCAGAGGTCCTCCGCGTTGGTGAAGGGGTCCTCCATAGTGATGAAGGGGTCCGTCATTGTGAGGGAGTGGTCCTGCGTGTTGGCAGAGAGGTCCTCCGTGGTGGGGGAGAGGTCCTCCATCGTGAGGGACGGGTCCTCCGTGATGGCTGAGAGGTCCGCCATGGTGGGGTAGAGGTCCTCCATGGTGGGGTAGAGGTCCTCCATGGTGAGGGAGAGGTCCTCCTTGAGGATAGAAGGGTCCTCCATCTGGGGGAAGAGGCCTCCACGACGAACGAAGGGACCTCCGTCATTAGGCTGAAGTCCTCCGTGAGGGGGAAAGGTTCTCCCTGGTGGTGAGGGAGGCCTCCCTGTTGAGGAGGGTGTTGAAGGGGCGGTCCGTCCTGTTGCTGAGGCCGTTGAGGGAGCGGTCCATTCGGCTGGTGAGGGGGCAAAGGAGGCTGTCCGTCCGGCTGTTGAGGCGCCAGAGGAGGCTGTCCGTCCGACTGTTGAGGCGGCAGGGGGCTGCCCTTCCGGCTGTTGAGGAGGGACCGGCTGTTGCAGCGGTAGGGGAGGCTGTCCGTCCAGGTGTTGAAAGTGCTGAGGGGGTTGTCCCTCCTGCTGCTGAGGCTGCTGGGAAGGTTGCCCCCCCTGCGGGTGGGAAGATATCCTCCCTGTTGGGGAGGTTGGCCGTCCTGCGGGTATGGCGGCGGGGGCGGGGCGACCCTCCCTGCTGCTGGTGTTGCATGTTTATGTTGTCTGTACCCATGGCAAGCACGAAGGAAGCTTTGGACTCATCATTCGTGCATCGCCTCTGTGGTAAATGTCGACGGTGTTTTGGACGGGGTGTTTGAGGTGTGTGGTTGCCTGCGGTCGTGTCCTTGTGTGTGTCAAGGGGTGGCAATGACAAGATTAAAGGCTCCCGTTGCTGTGGTTGGGTGGTTGTCGATGTTGTTCACCCCTGAAGTGATTTTGGCCGTCCGTCCACAGGAGGTTGTTTACTAGTTGGCGTGTGCATCGCCGCCACGTTCTGGATCTCGTGGTTTGTGGAATAACGGTTGTTCGGCGTTTGACGGATGCCCATTTCAATGTGGCTTACAGTGACCTTCAGGGATCTCTGTTGTCATGTTTCGTGACTTTGGATCTTCGAGTATCACTCGTTAGTCACAACGGTGTCCTCCAATACAGTGGTACGGTTGTGTTAGTAGCTGTGGTACACGCTCATTTATGCATGATGATCTTCGCTTATGACACAACCAAGCCGCATTCCACACCCTCGTATTCCAAGCACACGTACGACAGGCCATGAAAGTCAATATACCCTTCCTTTTTGACCACCGTACTCTAATCTGCGTACAGCTAGAGCTTGACCTCCCTGATACATGCGCCATATTCCCGAGACTCCCTTATGCTCCCTATTTTCGAGAATCGCCTTCTCTCCTCTCTGCATTCCTCAGGAATATTCATTGAAACCAATCATTCATATCTCCATAGGGGATGCGTCAGCACTCCTTCTTCCGGCACCTCTCAAAGTATCCGTTCAAGCACTCCGGAATGCTAGGTTCGTCGCCTACACAATATGATCTTCCTTTTTCCTTGCACTACCCCCCTTACGTAGGGTATTACCAACGAGACTGGCAGCGTCCCATACACGGAAAGTTATTTGGTGGGTTCGCGAAGCTCACGATACAGACCTAGGTCTCTTCTTCTTACTCGGAGACGGCCTACCAGAAGCACCTTCCGACCGCATTCTTTTCAGACCATGAAAATCGTCGATTTCGATATCCTGCTTGGCCTGATCGCAATAATTACGTCCTCCCTTAAGTGCTGACAATAACACGCGTCTCGCTGTTTGATCTTCGTCCTCTTCAGGAGTACTACTGCCCCCCTTTTCGAAAGTCATGGTCATTCGTGGTGGAACAGGAGGAGGGTGATTGACGGTTACTGTGTAGGTCGTCGTAGGGCTCCGCTTGTCTCCCTCGTAGTAAGAACGGGTGACAAGGTTTCTTGCATAGGCAGCAGCAACTATGTAGGTGATGTCGCCGGTAATGATGGTCTCCATTTTTCTTGAAAACACGGGGAGCACCTGATACACAAATAAATGATGATCAGCAGGGGAGCACTCCTTTCTGCCGATACGATGTCCTGCTCATGCCCGGATTGGTTTTCCTGGCCGAGGTTCCATCCATGGAAGTAGCGGCGTTCTAGATGGCGTGGGTGTTGGTCGAAAACCATCCCGATCCAGGGCCTCGGAAGTCGAGTGTACTCTGAAATGGACGCATGAAGGCCGTGCCTATGATGAGGCCTACCAGGAGTCCTTCCACCATCCCTACTCCTTCACCATGTCACAGCGGTCATAACGCTATCGACTTAGTTGGTTTACTAATGCTTAGCGTAACAGCCGCTGGCTGCGGTTCATCAATTATTATGGGGTTAGCTCATGTGGGGTGGATCTAATATCTTACACTAGCAACGGTACGCAACTCTAGCTTAACAACGGTACAACTAGCTTATCCTAGCTAGGTGTACTGACTCACAGGTCGTACTGGCTCTCAGATAGCTTGCTCTCCAAGCACTTGAGGGTCATTTTTTTCCGTCATAAGGGCAGCGACAAAAAGTCACTTGGGGGAAGCGGACCCAAGAGGGGGGTCCGCAACTGATTCGGGTATCTTTGAGACATACCTAGCCCTCCCTAGCCCGCTTCGCAGCGGACTGGATCAACGTATATAAGCGGGCACTCTGCTGCCATGACAATTAGTTTTGTTCTGTGTCGTGCCCTGAACGCACGCCCCTTTCACACGTATGCACTGATTGAACAACAGAACATTTAGGGAACAGCAGGCTGTCAGTGATGCTCCTCTACCGTAGTGGTCCCAGCCAGGGAAACAACCACCGACAATACCAAAGGCGTGAATATTTGCTGTGATTTCCTTGCGTTGCCACGCACACCACAGGGCTTGTTTAACCTTTCCAAGACGTTCATCGACCCTCTCAACAATGAGGACGCCACGATCGACAGCGACTGCATCGTCATCGACAGCCTCATCAAGGAGAGCGCTAATATGGGAAGCCGTTGGACCCAAGGCGCCAAAGTTTTCCCGTTTTAAGTGTCAGCCTCGTGGCCCAAGCCTTGCAAAAATGCAGGATTCTTGCCTGAGCAAAGAGTGCAACGAGGTAGAACCTGTAGAGGGCTTTGCGCGTTGCGCAGGAAGCAAGAGACGACGCAGAGTGTTTTCCGCGATTGTTTGCACCAACGAGACTTGACAAACCTGTGTAGCAAATTCTCCGTGGGTTTATGACGAAGTAGCGGAAAGGGAACCGTCAGCAACATGAACAGAGACGGCGGGCTTGGGATAGTGTACACGCTAGCATACCGTGAGAAATACGAGGGCCTTGGTGGTTCCGAAATCCCGCGAGGATATTCGATAAAATCTTGGGAACGCCTCGGCGGCCGCGCACGCATGTGTTATTGCAGGCAACACCCCCGAGGTGTTTTCACAGGTAGAAGGGTGAGATAAGAAAAAATAATAGCCCCGGCATGTCTCCCTTTTCCACCTTCCCAGCGCAGCATATGCATTGTAGTCAGATACTCACGAAAGGTAGAAACACAAATTGGTTGTTGATATAATGCAAACGCTTTTGAACTCAGAGCAAATATTGTCCTCATCCTGGCCTATTGTACGGATATTTGAAGGTCCTGAGCGGAGACCGGAACGGTATATGATAAAGACACAACATCAACACCATATCTGTGGAGCTATATGGATTTGTTGTGTACATTAAAGAACAGAAAAAAGGAATAACCCACGTTATGGAGCCCCCGGGGCGTTGGGCTTCATGTATTGTCAGGGCATCCCCCGAACGCGCGCGAACCATAAAATGTCCGAACGATTCACGTTTCGAGTCAACCGTTTTGAAGATCATAGGAGGCATCCCGCTGCTGACCTGGGCGTATGATGCCAGTCTCGAATCCCTTCTTCATCCGAAATATCAACGGCGTGACGGCCGTCCACAGGAGCAGTCAGGATAAACACATGATAGTGTTGTGGCCTCTCCCGTGGTTGAAATGGCGGCCCGTGACCATCGCACAAACAGCGATTGATCTCATTCCCGCGGTCACGCCATGCCTCTTACAGAAAGACCGACTTCTTCGACGTCAGCAATATCCCCCCATCCGAAACGGGCGCCGTTGAGTTGTTAGGCTACGAACAACTACAGTAGGGTGTCCACAAGGTGAAAAAATCAGCCCATCCGGGTTCACCTCCATCTGCGCTGTTGGCAACAACAGTGGAGAGCACCCTACATGCTTGCATGCCAATCACCCCAAAGAGAAGAAGAACCCGTTATAATGGCCAGGAGAGGTGTAACAGTCGGACATCGCAACATGAGAACACTGCCAGGAAAATAGCTTTGTCGATCGCCCAGAAGCAACGGCTTGTGGTGGCGTGATCGGCCGCCAGAGATCAACAAATACTCCTACCCGACTTCCTCCCCCGAACCATCGTCGCTGTCCGTGCTCAAGTAGTCTGCTGTGAGTACCCTCCATTTCCCTTGCTTCACCCGTTCGAACGGCTGCTCTGTCTTGGGCGTAACGGGCGCAACGGTCGATGCGAGGCGTGTGTTGTCAACGGTGGTGCCAGGCGGGGGGGGGGCGGTCTTGATGGCCCGTCTGTTGCGGAGGATCTGGGCTTCTTGTGCGGCTCGCTGCTCCTCATACTCCTGGCGGGTGCGGGAGCCCAAGTCGCGAGAACAAGTGTTGGCGATGAAATACACAAGCACGATAGCAGAGTCGAAGGCAAGAGAACGGAAGTCTTTGTCAGGTAGTGTAGACGTGAGTGTAAACTGGGGGGTATCAGCTACGTAGTGGTGATTGGTGGCAAGAATTCTCCTCCAAGTGGCCTGACATGGGCAGCCGGAACGCGTGCGTGTCCAACATGGCACTAATGCGATCATCAGCCAAGATAAATATGGTTTTAGTAGAGGTGGTTCATGATAGCACACCCAGCTGGGTTCCAACACTACAGAACAACGCAGAACATCACCGAGAGCCGTCCCCCAGCACCTCCGCTGGCAGCCTGACCGGTAAATCGGGGATCGACATCACCGTACATGCCACGGATGTCTGGTTGGTGCGAGAAAATCCCGCCCCATCGTGTGCTCCCCCTTCCGTTCCGGTGGTCGTCACGGGAACGGTAGCGGCGGCGGCGGCGACGGCGGTAACCGACGCAGAAACCGTTCCGTGGATCGGGTTCTCTTCCGTTCCGGTCGTCACGGGAACGGCAGCGGCGGCGGCGGTAATGGACGCAGAATCCGTTCCGTGGTTGGAGCCCTCCTCCGCTCCGGTGGGCACGGGAACGGCCGAGGCGGCGACGGTAATGGACGCAGCCGTGATGGCTACGGTAGGAGTCGCTGGCTTCGCCTGCTGCGGAGGGTCGGGGTAGGACGCGGTCAGATGCAGCCTTCGTTAGGTGTTTGTGGGCCACAACAACACATGGAGCCATGGGACGCGGGACGTCATGAAAAAGCGGGACGGGGGCAGTTTGTACGTGCTGTTCAGAGGTTAGACTACGTAGGATTGTCTCTCATTCTGCGATCGGTTCTAGCATGTAGGAAGGAGTATTTGGCGATGTGTGGTGTGCATACAGGGCTATACGTTGTCCTGGAGACATGCAAGGGTTCAAAACCGTCGCGGAATGGCAGAAATTGGACACTATTACAGCAGATATCAGGGAACGCAAAGCGGACATGCGAGACCGTTGTGTGTACGCGCGACTTGACTCACACGCGGTGGACAACGAGGAAGCCTTCCTCTCTTCTTTGTCACGCATAACCTCGTCTGTGTGCGATATATCTACCAATACGTTGTGTGTACTCGCGATTCGACTCACACGCGATGGACAACGAGGAAGCCTTCCTCTCTTCCTTGTGATGCACAAACTTGACTGTGTGCGATATATCTACCAATATTTCGTCGCCGGGCTAGTGAAATCCGTACCTGGTTTGTGACCATCGATTAGGACTTTGCGAAAGCCTCAATGCGCATGACCAACCAACCCATCAACGACCCCATCATCCATTTTCTTACCAATGCTCCGAATGCCCTTCCCCGCCGTCCTGCCAATGGTCCCACCGGCGGAATCGGCAGGAATGGGAGCGCATTGATGGTCTTGCCGCCGGAGGTCGGCTTCACGAACGACGATTGTGTCTCTTGCCTGTTTAGTTGGAGGCGAAACGGTTACCCCCGGGGAAAGCAAAGCTGTGAGGTTGAGAAATCCCTCGCGGCTAGCATCCTCACGATTCCGTAGACCGCGTCACAGTAAGTTTGCATGTCCCACAGTGCATAGGTGGTGTCCAATTTGTCTACCTCACTCAGCAGCACCGGCATCCAGATGGAGGACATCTCCCAAGGTTGTTTGGCAGCTTCTTGGCATGAAGGGCTGCTTCGGAACTCACCTCGTCGCGTCCCTTCCCATCGAGAACCCGCCCGACTAACTCTTCGGCGGGTGCTCCACCTTAAACATGTCACCTCGCGTCAGGCCAGGCAGCGGCCTCGCCTCGACGGTCGTCTGAGGTACCGAAGAGACGGGAGGTCGTTTGCAATGCCCCAACGTGCGAAAAAGAGGGTGGGACACATTGTCAAGAGCCAGTTGTCTTCCCAACGAGTTCATCGTCGTATGCATGCCTCGAGTGGATGAGGGCCGGCGAAACATGTCCCCTGAGCGGAGACCGGCGGATGAATACCGGCAAGGTCGGCTAAACCCCGGTCACGCTAACGATATCGCACGCAATAGCCTAGTCTGCACTCACACGAGCCATCGGCCATTCTTTCCTGTGGAATCCCCCGTTCTTGTCGCCTGTGCTGCCCAAGCGCTTCCCGCTGTTCCTGCCCGCGTGGCGAGGAGACGCGAGGAGCGGGTAGGGCATAACCGGTGTTGCACCCCTGTCGCTCCTCCGCACTTCCAGGAAGCGCGTCCGCATTGGCCAGTCTCCTTTGCCGGGCGATGGCCCCAACGTGCGCCCAGAAGATAGTCTTGCTGACCTTCTTACCGGAGCCCATCCGCCTCTTGCGTCCGAGGCCGCTCGCTTCAGGGGAGCACGAGAAGTCGAGTGTGTGCTCTGCCCTCTTGCGCATGTGCTGCTGCGGCAACCCTGTGGAGGACCCCGGAACGTCTCTGTCGGTGCGGAGCACTGCCGACAGGGTGATGCGGCGCGCTTCAACCTCCGTGCCCGCCATGCGAAGGGCCCGCCNCGGAGCCCATCCGCCTCTTGCGTCCGAGGCCGCTCGCTTCAGGGGAGCACGAGAAGTCGAGTGTGTGCTCTGCCCTCTTGCGCATGTGCTGCTGCGGCAACCCTGTGGAGGACCCCGGAACGTCTCTGTCGGTGCGGAGCACTGCCGACAGGGTGATGCGGCGCGCTTCAACCTCCGTGCCCGCCATGCGAAGGGCCCGCCTGACCGTCTTGGTCAGCACCGAGGTCGTGCCCCTTCGGCGCTCGGTGGGCGTTTCCGAAGTAGCGCCAGAGTCACGGCCTGGGCACGGAGACGGTGTCTCTGACGCATTCCTCACGGCACGAGAATCACCTAGAGATGCTAGACCTTGCAGCTGCTGGTGCTGCTGGTGCTGGCGCCGCTGCTGCTGCGGTTGTTGCCGTTGCTGTTGTGCCGTCTGCTGCCGGTGTTGCAGCCCCTCTTGTGACTTCGCGTGGTCATCCGCCCTCTGTTGCCGCTCCNTGCTGCGGTTGCTGCCGTTGCTGTTGTGCCGTCTGCTGCCGGTGTTGCAGCCCCTCTTGTGACTTCGCGTGGTCATCCGCCCTCTGTTGCCGCTCCTGCTGCAATTTCGCCTGGTTTTTCTGGTCCCGCTCCAGGCGCTCGTGCAGCAGCCGCTGCTGGCGCTCTAAAAGTACTCGCCGCCGGTGCTGTTGTTCCTGTTGTAGGTCCTGCTTGAATTGCTCCCATTTATCCCACCGCTCCTGTCGCAGCTTCCGCTTCGCAGCCTCGTCCTCCCTTTTCCTTTGTAGGTNCTTCCGCTTCGCAGCCTCGTCCTCCCTTTCCCTTTGTAGGCTTGCCTGCAACTCCGCCTGTATCTTCACACTGTCGGCCAACTCTTCGTGCAACTCATCCATCATTTTCCAACCGATGCGCTGCCCCACCTGCTCCCGATCCCGCCACCGCCGACACCTGCGAAGGAATGCTTCCTGCCTCTGCTGCGCCTTCTTCTTCTTCTCCCGCTCCCGTTCTTGCTGCTGCAGCTTCTGCTCCTCCCGCTTCCGCTCCCGCTGCAGCAGGTCCTGCAAGCCCTGCTCCCACAGCCAATCCTGATGCTGCCTTCTCGCCTGTTGGTCCGCCTCCTCCTGCCGCAGCCGCTGCTGGTTCTCCTGTCGCTCCCGCTCCTGCTGTTGCAGCTTCTCCTGCTCCCGTTTCTCCTGCTCCTGCTTCGCCTTCTTCTCCCGCTCCTGCTGCTGGTTCTCCTGTCGCTCCCGCTCCTGCTGTTGCAGCTTCTCCTGCTCCCGTTTCTCCTGCTCCTGCTTCGCCTTCTTCTCCCGCTCCTGCTGCTGGTTCTCCTGTCGCTCCCGCTCCTGCTGTTGCAGCTTCTCCTGCTCCCGTTTCTCCTGCTCCTGCTTCGCCTTCTTCTCCCGCTCCTGCTGCTGGTTCTCCTGTCGCCCCCTTTCCTGCTGTTGCAGCTTATCCCGCTCCCGATTTTCCTGCTCCTGCTTCGCCTTCTTCTCCCGCTCCTGCTGCTGGTTCTCCTGTCGCCCCCTTTCCTGCTGTTGCAGCTTATCCCGCTCCCGATTTTCCTGCTCCTGCTTCGCCTTCTTCTCCCGCTCCTGCTGCTGGTTCTCCTGTCGCCCCCTTTCCTGCTGTTGCAGCTTATCCCGCTCCCGATTTTCCTGCTCCCGCTTCGCCTTCTTCTCCCGGTCCCGCTGCCACGCCCGAGCGATCCCAATGCGGATCCGCTCCACCTGCTCCTGGTCTGATAGCTTCCGCGACTTCGCCAGGTACTCCGACGACCGCACCTGATCGCGTAGGCACGGGAGTCCCAAATGCCGTTGCTGCTGATGCTGTTGCGGCTGCGCCCGCTGCCGGTCCCGAGCCCTCAAAGTGGCACGCCGGCCAACGTGCGCCCGCCCGTGGGACGGCACTCGACGCTCCGGCCTTTGCTGTTGCCGCGCCTGCTCAGCATGCCTACGTACGTCAAGAATGCCACGATACATTGCGCCTGTTGATACAGAGTGTCTGCTTCAGTGCGAGTGCCCTCCCAAGTGGCGTCCAAATATCTCAACTGCCGTCCAAATATCTCCGATTGTACAGCAGTACCTATGCAGCGCTGGTACGCCGGATTCAGGTTCCGGCACACAAGACAATGTGGGGTGTTGCGGCGGCAGCCATGACAGCACATGCTGCTCTAGTACTACTGTACAGCAGTAGTACTACTGTACAGCAGTAGACCAGTCGAGGTTATAGTACTAATGTACAACAGCAGTAGTACCAATCGAGGTTCTGGGATGGGCGGCTCTCGTTCCAAACGGTGAGTTCTGGTGAACGCGAGACGCGCTTTCGAAATTTTTCAAGCACGTCTTCCGACATACCATTAGACTACAATCTGGGCCAGCCAAGAAGCTGACATTCAGTCTTCCAGCCATACATAAATTCTGAAGGAATCAAAATTGGGACGAGCTCGGCACATCTGCTCAATCAGCCAATCACAGCGGATTTGCCCATGCCTCTCGAAATCGTGTTGAACACATTCTCTCCAAAAAAGATAACCCTCCGCATTTTATCTGGGTTTAAGACTGGGGAAAAAAAATTATGAAACGCTTTTTTTGCGGCGGAATTTCATTTTTTTTTGAAATTGTGCACAACGGATGCACACAGCACCCGCTGGCACCGAGGAGTGCACAGCATGGAGAGCCTAGTAGCAGCAGTCACACGCAATGGCTGGCAGAGAACCTCTGAACCCGTATGCTATCCAGAGAGGTCTAAGGGGAAGTGGCGGCTACGGCTCATGTTCACAAGCCGGAAAGGAGACAGGGCAACGAAGAAGTACGGCCCCTTGTGCAACACAGAGCAGGAAGCGCTTTGTGGCAGCCTTGCCTTCAGGTACAGCTGGGAGGGCAGCCAACGTGGTCAGCCCTGCGAGGTCAGCAAGGAGAATCTAGTCCCACCTGTTGCAGCGGGTACTACGCTTCCAGCAGGCAAGTCGTGAACTGCGCAGTTGTACACTTGTACAAACACGATGTGGACATGATCATGCAATTTTGATTTTTTTTGTTTTTTCTGGGGTCGGAGCAACGCCAGCACACGTGACACCGTGCCAGCGACTGCTGCTGTACCTACTGCACGCGGCCAGTCATGCCGCAGGCTGGACTTACGTCGAGTATGTTCTTTTAGGGACGTCAAGTAGGTGGCACTCTTATAAAAGAGATGGCGGCGTATGTTGATTTGTACACGACCACATTTTTTGGGAGATGTGGTCGTCAGCCGAGATTTTTGAATTTTCGACGGCATGCTTCGCACGCACAAGTGTAATCGCCCAACGTGATATCCACGTTCACATGAGTTGCCTTCATTACTCGTCTGTTGTTCTGGTACTAGAGGCGCCTACAGCAGTACGCACAACATTTTTTGCTACAATATGGTACCTGTACACCCCGATGTGTTTGCTGCAACGATGTGCTGCCGTATATGACGTAAGATAACACACCCCCCTGGACGGATTTTGAAAGCTCGATTCATCACCAGCAGAACGAGTCGCAGCGCCGAAAACGGCGGTGTTGAAGCTGTCTTGTCGAGAGCTCTCCGGAAACGTATCGTGTTGTTCATGCATCCTCTTCGTCGTGGAGTAATCGAGCTGTGGAAATCGACCCAGGGGGTGTGTTATCATGTGTCGTACTTCGGTCTGAAAGTAAAACTCTGCATGAAAATGCGCCGATGTCGTCACACTTTCGCGAAAGGTTGACCGGTTGTTGCACCTCTGCACATCACGTACTACTTGGGTGATCTCCAACTCTGAAATACTTGCTGCAAGTATTGCTGTAGTGCAAAACAACGAATAACAATGTGCCGCACTGCCTCGTGCTTCAAACTCCCAACCGCCGCTCAAGCAGGAAAATCGCTCAACAGCCTCGGGATCATCGGCCGACCACAGGAACGGCAGTTCAAGCGACAGCGGCGGGCTGGCTCCGACGCGACCCGCGCGGAATTTGCGATGCAGCAGATGCTCACCAGCCGCGAAAAACGCTCGATAGAGCGGGGTTGGAGAAGGAGAGACAGAAAGCTTCGAAAGGCCTTCGATCAACGTGGAGCCTACCTCGGCGGCCGGATCAAAGACTTGACGGCAAACGTTGCAGCCAACGAGCAACACATCAAGCGTCTCCAGGACGCCCTCCGGACTGGCCACCTCCCCAGCCTTCTCCTCCCCCTCCCCCTCCCTTCCGTGGAGGACGGTGAGAACGCGGGCGATAGGACGTGGGCCGAGGACACGGGAAAACCGCCGGAGGAAAAAGTAGCCGAGAAGCAGATAATCCGGTTGTGGCAGCAAGCGTACTCATCGTTGGAGGTGCTGAAAGAGGAGCGGGAGCGCGACGTCAAGCAGCTGGAGCTCACGCGGAAGGCGAACGAGGTTTTGTCCGGCTGCAAGCATGCAACGGATGCCGCCGTGAAGGAAGCCGATGCCGAACGGTTTGACCTGCTCAACGAGGCGTCGTTGGTTCGGCACGAGGCTTCGCTCCTGCGGATGGCGGCAAAGGTAGCAGGTTCTAGTCCGCAGGCTTATGCGCCATCAACGATCCTGAGGTGGCTCAGAGACTTTCGGAAGGAAGGTGGTTTCAGGCGGGATGCACGGGGTGCGCACGAGCCGGACTGGATCATGTCAGAGGAGGATCTGAAGAGTGCGTTGCTGGCGTGGATGATATCACAACCGCGTTTCACCATCAAGGACGTCTGCAAGTACATCAACGGGCCTCTGCTCCAAGACGACAAGGAGGATCTTTCCAGGCTCCATGCGTACCAGGTGAACCTTCCGGTTTCGATGTCCACGACGCACTCGTGGATGATAAGGTTGGGTTGCAGGTACGAGCGGGCCACCAAGTCGTTCTACACGGACACCCACGAGAAGAAGGAGGTAGTCGAGTACCGCGGCGAGTACATAGAGAAGAGACGCAAGATGGCGCTGCGTCAACCCTTGTGGGTACGAGTGCAACGAGCCGCTCTCAAGCAGGAGGAGGTGGACCGACTCGACAGCCTTAAGTCGCGAGGCCCGGAAGGAGATTTCTACGCAGAGGCGTACGACTGCAAGATCGATGGACAAGACTGCATCGAATTCCACGTAGATCTCCTGCGCGACGACGGCTCCGTCGATAACTTCGACAAGCTCCGCGCCGCACTTGGTCCAGAGGGTGGGGACTACAGCGTTCGCTTCGATCAGGCCGCTGCTGCCCAGTGCGAGCATTTCCACCCCCCGAACAAGTGCAGATGCGGCAAGAAGGTGCACCACATCGGGCAGGACGAGAGTGCCTACAAGGCGTATGCACGCGAGGGCAAAGAGTGGGTGATTCGAGGGGTGCGCGGACTGCGGAAAAAGACGGAGGGGCCGGGGGAAATGGTGTCTGGTTTTCAGGACGAAAGACACGGTTTCGGCTTACCTATTTCGGATGCCGACCTGGCGGCGGTGAACGCCAAACGCGATGAGGAGGGGAACGGCAAAAAAACCCTGACGCGAAGCCCTGGACTCCGGTTTCTTGAATACGGAAAAGGCAAGGATGGGTACTGGGGCTACGACCAGTTCGAAGAACAGGTCGAAGACGTGATGGACGTCTTGGAGCACATCGATCCCGACATGCAAATAGTGTTCGAGGTCGACCACTCGTCGGGCCATGGGAAGCAGCGAGAGGATGGTTTGCATGTATCGAACATGAACGTCAAGTATGGGGGGAAGCAAAAGGTGTTGCGGGATTCGGTCATGACGGAGGAGTGCTTGGGTCCGGAGGAGGCGAAAATGTATTTCGCCAACGGCAGGTGGAGCACGAAGTTCAGCGAGGGGGCAGTGTGTGTTGACCAGAAGCTGACGGTGGGCCAGACTCAGACTAGCACTTTCGCGGTAGGTGCGCCTCCTCCGTTTTTCGAATGGGATGCTCCGCGCAAAGACAAGAAGAACGCGAAGGGGAAGGTCAAGGAAGGGTACGAGGGGAAAGCGAAAGGGGTCAGGCAGTACCTGTGGGAGCGTGGGTGGTGGAAGGACGGCATGTCAACAGGGGCGGGAGTCAGTGACGATATGCACGTGGAAAAGGTTCTGCAAGCCTTGCCTGACTTTAAGAATGAGAGGACAGCCCTGCAGCACCTGGTAGAGAGTAGGGGACACATTCTTTTGTCGTCTCCGAAGTGTCACCCGGAGGTAGCGGGGGTAGGGATCGAGTACTCGTGGGGGTTTTCCAAGCAGAAGTTTCGGCGGAAGATCAATGATGAGGTCCCGAAGCACTTGCACGACAACATCGAAAAGTCGCTGTGCATAGACAAGTACTTGACAATCGGTCGGGTGCGGCGCTTTGCCCGGCGAACACGAGACTACTGCCGGGCTTACCGCGAGATTGCGCTTCGCGGGGTAGTCATCAGGAACAAGGAGTTCATCGAGAACATGCGCAAGGTCCAAAAGGCCCACCGCAACATTTTGGACATGGAAACTAGTTTTCTTGGCGACCAGTAACAACGTCGGCCGGCCGATGGCGAGGGGGGGGGGTCTCGAGTTGTGTGTGCATGTTTTGTTTTATGCTGTGAGAGAAGCGGGTGTTGTGTGAGCTGTGTGTTGTCGTTGTAGATTGTAGTCGGTGGCATGTACTTGTACATTGGATTTTTTTTCTGCGAGATAAACGGGTGTGGTGGGGGTGTGTGTTAAATGAGTCGGTTTCAAGCTGTAGTTTGCACCATTTTTTTCTGAAAGATTAACCGGTGCGAGAAGTTGTGTGTGTGTGTTGATGAGTCTGTCAGTTTGAATGTTGTTTCTAGATAAGTGGGTGTTTTTTAACCGCTGTCAAACAACGAACGAAGTGTTTTTTTTTATGTACAAAGAAACGTCAACTTTTGTGCGATTTGTGCAAAACATTTGTCATGCGTNCCATCAGGCCGCTCTCGCGCCCCTTTTCTCGGGCTGTAAGGCCTTCATTTTCCTACACAATTTCCGCCCCTGCACCCAGGTATCGAGGTCATGACGCAATTTGGGGGCCCAGGTTAGGTTCTGTAGGGTACCCACAGATCTATACCGGGGGTAATTACCCTCTGTTTTACCCTACAGAACAATTCTGTGAGTTCTGTGCCCGTAGCGCCACAATACCCTACACTTCTGTGAGTTCTGTGACGGTTGCACCATAGTACCCTATACTTCTGTGAGTTCTGTAGCACACACGATACCCCACAGAGATTACCCTCTTGTTCTGTATACAATACCCTAACACTTCTGTGGGTTCTGTGACGGTCGTGCC